GTGGTCGGGCTTATTTTGGGGGGAGGAAAATAAGGGGAAAAAATTCTGCCTCTGCCTACCAGCATCCATCGGTATTCATGTGGCTAGCGTCCTGTCAGTGTGTGAAAGAGTTGAGGGCTGTTTGGAAACTGAAGTAGTATTTGCTGAAGCAAGAAGGAGACAGCCAGGAGCCTGGGCGTAGCTTAGCTCAACTGTTCTGTATTAAAGCTGCTGTGAAAGTAAAACTGAAACTGAAACTCCTCTCCTCTGTTTCTGTTTTGCATTTGGAACAGATTTCTTTTCAGGTGGGGAGGGGGAGTCAAACTCCTTAGCATCAGAGCGTGTTAATAATAATAATATAGGGAATACTAATGCTCTGATTTTTCATTTCGAAAAATCCTTTCTTAGCGAGCCCCTAGAAACCAAGAGGAACATAAGTGTTAAATTTCAAGTTTGTAGGCTTTATGGTTCTGGAGCTTTTGTGATGATGCGTGAGTGGTATTTCACTTTTATATATATAAAAAGAAAGATACCATGTTATGTTCGAAGGGTCGGGCTCGTAAAGACAAGAGACTCTGGTTCAGTAACAACAGCTCTTTATTTATCAGCTAAAACAAGCTTAAAAGAATAGCAGCCGCAGCGGCTCTTTTATAGAGCTCGCCGGGGCTTAGCAGCCAATGACAATGCTTCAAGTCTCCCGCGCTTGGTTTTGACCAATCGTGGCAGACTCCTAGCGGGCCAATCACAACCGCCCAGTTTGTCCAATCAGGTAGCGGTTAAAACGGACCAATTGGAATGCAGGGTTTCAAGTCTGTCAATATGCAACTTACCATATTATGCATCTCATGCAACAGAGAGCCAGTTTGGTTCAGAGGTTAAGGCGGCAGGCTAGAAAGCGGGAGACCGTGAGTTCTAGACCTGCTGTAGCCATGAAAACTAGCTGAGTGACACCAGGAGATGGTGAGTCCCAGTCCAATCTTAGGCATGAACGCCAAGGGGTGATTTGGAGTCAATCACCAGGTGACCATGAGTTCTAGTCCCGCCTTAGCCATGAAGTGTCAGCCTTCAAGATTTTTCCTTCAAGATGTTTCTCCCTTTGCTTTGCATCTTTCGTCCGTCATAAGTAACGGGGGGAGGAGGGGTGGAATGGTTATGGGAAGTGAGCTGGAGCTGTTACAAACTGGAACTGTATAAACTGGGGTGGGGGCTACATTCTTGCTTAGGTTTCTATCCTATGCTATGCGCAGCTGCAACCCTTTATCAAACTATGTCAAGGTCAACGGACAGAAGCCTCATCACCACCTGGAGATGCCCACATGATGATATACACAACTTTTAATTGGATGAGTCAATTGAACTATTGGGGGCGGAAACGTTGCCATTACTTTGTATATGTGATTTACGCGCCCATTTTCTCAGATTCAGGATTCTTTTGTTGCTACCACTTGATTTCCAGTAAAAGATACCTTTTCTCTGATTAAAAGAGTCTAAGTATTTCTTTCTTGGATTTTGAATGGAGCACCAGCTGACGTGAAGGTTGATTGGATGACTTTCAGCCAGTCACCAGGAGACTGTGAGTTCTAGTCCCACTTTAGTCATGAAAGCCAGATGGGTAATCTTGACAATAGCTCTCTCTCAGCCAAACCCATTTCACAGTGTTGTTTTGTGCGTTAGGAAATAGGAGGAGTTGTGTGTGGGATAGATTTGCCACCTTGAGTTATTTGTAAAAACAATAACGGTGGGATACAAATAAATAGATAAGTGGAAAGGAATTAGTAATTAGATTCTACCATTGTGGTATAACTTGATAACTCTTGGACTCACTGCAACAACTGGAGCACCCCAAAAATGCAGCTATCTTTTTTTTTTGAGGAGGGACTTCAAAGAACGTGAAGAATACATAACCAGGACTGCCCAATTTTAGGGTAGTGAGACAGCCTACAAACACACACACACACACACACACCATATACACCTTGAGTCGGAATGGCAGTGCAATCAGGAAAAGGAAGTGCGTGAAGTGAGGTTAAAAAAAATATCAAATAACTTAGTTATGTTTAACTTCAATTCCAAACAGCCTTAAGATGGAATTACTCATGGAAATAATAGTTTTCTTCCTCTGGCGACAATCTTTACAGCAGCTGTGTTGGCACCTGCCTCAGCTTGTGAAGTTCTGTCTTTAAAGAAATGATGGAAGGCTTCCACAGACTGAGTAACCATGGACCTAAAGTCAGAGGCAGGAAAAAGAGAAGAAAAAAAGTCACAACTTTTAAAAGTAAAAATGCCTCAAGAGACTGCAAGATTCCAGTGGGTCTCCTAAATTCTTCATTAGGCTTTTGGTGAAGTGTTTTTTTTTTTTTCAACCTTGGCAACCCTAAAATATGTGGACTTCAACTCCCAGAATTCCCCAGTCAGCAAGCTGGCTGGGGAATTCTGGAAGTTGAAGTCCATGCATCTTAAAGTTGCCAGAATTGAGAAGCACTGGGATCATACATAACCCAACGAGGAAGCAGATGAATGAAGCAATTTCAGCATGGAATAATTAAGAAAAATATCCCGACTTCAGAGGTGGTATATTCAGCAGGTTCTGACCAATTCTGGAGAACCAGTAGCGGAAATATTGAGTAGTTTGGAGAACCAGCAAATCCCACCTCTGACTGGCCCCGCCCCCATCTCTTCTCCACCACCCATTGAGTCCCAGCTGATCCGCTGGGTCTTCTTTGGTTGCCCTGCACAGGAGAATGGAGCTGAAAAGCAGGTCAGTGGGGTGGAGAGGGAATGGGGATTTTGCGGTAATCTTCCCTGCCACGCCCACCAAGCTATGCCACACCCACCAAGCCACGCCCACAGAACCAGTAGTAAAAAAAAATTTAATCCCACCACTGCCAGACTTCTGAAGTCTATATTTAGCCTGAAGGTAAGAGGTTGAGTGGTGCAACAGGATTATGGAATATCACAATGCTACTATAATCATTTCATCTTTGGGCCAAAGGCCCGTTTAACCCAACATCATATATCAGATGTTGGCCAAGCTCTAGCAGGAGACTAGACCGGTTTAATGAAGTTTGCAGAAACTTCTTAAAAACATCTCAGGGAGACATTTACCCGAGCAAGATTCAAACAGCTTAAAACAATGGTTAGATTTGGGAGATTCCATTCTATCCCATATAATGAACATACATATATTTGTTTATTTGTAACATGTATTTGTGGTGCTGAAGAGATAGAAGATCTGACTCATATATTATTTGATTGCTTTTTTATATAAGGAAGTGAGAGATAAGTACCTTGATCCATATGTTAAACCTATGGCCCAATGGGAGGCCCATATTAAAACAACATATACCTCATGTGTGGCCAAAATTTGAAAATGATATTTAATACAGCACGATTTCTGACTAAAATGATCAACATATGTGGGCCTGATTGGGGTAGATTGCAGGGGGTAATACAGATGCAGAAATATAATTTTATGTCATGTTATTCTATTTTACATATTTAAGTATTACATTATTGTATTTTATCCTATAACTATGGTACTTTACCCCACTCTTATTTTAAATTGTTTGGGTAGGATTTTATTGATAATACATCTTTGAACCTTATATGTTGATATGGCTTCCCGTTTCTGGTGCTCCTACATGGCACATCCGGGAGCTGTTCTTCTGGTTTCCAGCGTGCATGCATGCTTCCATTTTGCCACTCGGTGCCGAAAAGGTTTGCCACCACTGGTGTAGGCTCTCCTGCTTCAGCACAGGTTTGGACTAGAGGACCTCCAAGATCCCTTCCAACTCTACCATATGATTTGATGTATTGTCGATGTTATGGGATGGGATGGACTAGAATAGAATAGAATTAGTAGAGTAGAGTAGAGTTGAATTAGTAGAGTAGAGTAGAATAGGGAATAGGGTAAGGTAGGGTAGAATAGCATTAGTAGAGTAGGATAGGGTACAGTAGAATAGAATGGAATGGAATAGAATAGAATTAGAGTATAGAATTGAATTAGTAGAGTAGAGTAGAATTGAATTCTTAGAGTAGAATAGGGAATAGGGTAGGATAGGGTAGAAGAGAATTAGTAGAGTAGAGTAGGGTAGGGTAGGGTTCGGTATGGTACACTAGAATAGAATGGAATAGAATAGAATTAGAGTATAGAATTGAATTAGTAGAGTAGAGTAGAATATATAGGAATAGGGTAGGGTAGAATAGAATTAGTAGAGTAGGGTATGGTATGATATGGTACAGTAGAATAGAACGGAATAGAGTGGAATAGAATAGAATTTGTAGAGTAGAGTACAGTACAGTAGAATTGAACTAGTAGAGTAGAATATATAGGAGTAGGGTAGAATAGAATAGAATTAGTAGGGTAGGGTAGGGTAGGGTACAGTATGGTACAGTAGAATAGAATGGAATGGAATGGAATAGAATAGAATTAGTAGAGTAGAGTAGAATAGGGAATAGGGTAGGGTAGGCTAGAATAGAATATAGAATGGAATATAGAATAGAATAGAATAGAATAGAATAGAGAATAGAATAGAATAGAATAGAATAGAATAGAATAGAATAGAATAGAATAGAATTAGTGGAGTAGAATAGGGAATAGGGGAGGGGAGAAGAGAAGAGGACGCTGGAGGTCTTCTAGTCCAATTCCCTGCTCAAGCCGGACAACTGGCTGTCCAGTGTTCCAATCTAACGCATCGTTGCAAGGGTTCCCAAAGCTCCATTGTCCCGTTTCCACCTGTGTGTGTGTGTGCGCGCGCGTTCCTCGTGGAGGTGGCCTGTTTAGCGGAGGTGGGCGCTCTCAACCCCGGAAGGGTCCAAGGCTTTCCCAACTTTGGCGCAACTTTTAAAGGTGGACTTCCACTCCCAGAACGCCCCAGCCGGCCTCTGCTTGGAGGTGGCCCTCAGCCTCGCAGCCCCGCCCGGCCTCTCCGGCAGCTGCAGCTCCAGCCAAGCCCCGCCCGGCGGCGGCGGCGGCGGCGGCGGCAGGTGAGCTCTGGGGGCCCGGCGGCGGGCGTGGCCCCAGCGGGGGAGGGAGGGCGGGCCTCCCGGCTGCCTAACCTCCGCCCGGCTCAGCCAACGGGCCAGTGCCAGCCCCGCGCCAGAGCCTCCGCGCCGCGCCAGCATGTTCGGCGTCCAGCAACACGTCCAGCCGACGCCGCTGCTGCCTCCGTCCTGGAGCTCCCGCTCGCAGCCGGCCGTCCCGTCTCCGCCGCGGGGCTACTGCCCGGTGCCGCCGCCGCCGCCGCCCTCGCGCTCCTGCTTCGACCCCTGCTTGGCGCCGCCGCCTTCGCTGCCCGCCACGCTGCCCCGCACCCGCCAGAGCCGCCCGGCCCCGCTGCCCCTGCAGGGCCAGCCGTGCCCCGAGCCCTTCCCGCCGCAGGAGAGCTGCAACGGGGGCGGCAGCCTGGTCTACGAGCGGGTCCGCACCTACAGCAGCCCCGGCGGGAAGCGGGTGCAGCTGCTGGACGCGCCCAACGGCTGCTCCCCCCGGGCGCTCTCGCCCTTCGACGCCAGCCCGGGTTACCAGCACGTCATCTGGAGCAGCGACCCCCCGTTGCAGGTAAGGGCCTCGCGCCCCCACCCCACAGACCATCTCCCACTCCCCCAACCCACTCCTGGGCCGGTTGGGTTCCTCCTTGCTCTTACCTGGAGGAGAAAACACCTCACCTGGAGGAGAGAGCACCTCACCTGGAGGAGGGAGCACCTCACCTGTTGGAGGGAGCACCTCCATGCTCTTACCTGGAGGAGAGAGAGCACCTCACCTGGTGGAGGGAGCACCTCACCTGGTGGAGGGAGCACCTCACCTGGTGGAGG